TAAATTTTCAACTTAAAAATGCTATAACTTTTTGAAAAATGTATATATCAGCACAAATTTTTTTTTTCTAAATACATTATAAGTACATCTTTCATTTGACATACTTTTTATTAAAATTGGACCATTTACCCTTATATAGGGGGCGTCAAAAACTTGAAATATTGTAAAAAACAAAGATCTTTTTCAACTTAATTTTTGAAAATGTTCCTGAAATACTGCGTCCTTTAAACAAATATCACATTAAAGCTTATTTTATGTAATATAAAATGAAAAAAAAAATTTGTCCTGACGACCTATCTTCTATGCGCAAATGGCTACCATATTAAAAATATGCTATTTTAACAAATTTTTATTTTTAATTAAACACTATCTACAAATTTGCATCGAAGTGTTTTTTTTGATAGTGATTTTAATCACTGTCAGATATCATCTATACTGGACCCAACTATGCCACGACCCCACTGTGCTGGGTTTTTTTTATAAATTAAACACTATCTACAGATTTGCATCGTAGCGTTTTTTCTCTCTAAATTAATTTTTTATACATGTAATTTTTCTGAAAATTTGAAGGGGCTTATTTTATTATTAGATTGGCTAAGCCACTCCGTGTTTATTAATTTACGCCTATAATGACGATCTTTTCTTATTAATTTCATACGTTATAATGTATTGGTTAATTAAAAAATAATATCAGGCGAATACAGCTAAATATGTAAAAACTATATTATATTGTGACTAATCAATATAAGTAAGTTTTTATATTGTAGACATTATCATTTTAATTACGGATAAACGTTTTAGCTTCTATAGAACGCTTTATATGCATGGTGTTTATGAAGGTACACGCTATGCGTTATATACATTCGATTCATGCGTATATACCTGACGAATAAACGAATAAACATCAACACGCATACTTGAATATAATATGCATACAGTGGCATGGCCAATAATTTATTAATAAAATATGATTACGAAAGCATTTTAACTCTTTTAAATAAGTGTCATTTTACCAATTTTTATTACTTGTTGTTCAATATTTAAGTACGTATAGGCTGTTGTTTGATGCAAGTCAATATAATATTTTGCGGAGGCGGCGGCGTCATTAGTTATATTAAATATTATACACCGACCACTATACTTCCATTAAAACTCTGTACCATCATAACCGAATAAACTAAAATGTAAACCCGTGACAGATGTTGGCTATCACGGCAGAACCTTGCAGCTGCTGGCAGTACTTGAATTTGTGCCCATACTCGCACGTCCGTCCGGGGGTGATGAGCTGGAAGCCAGGTGTTCTTTTCCACATGTGGGGGATCACTAACGCAGACAAATCTGGATCCGTATATAAGATTATTGTTGAATTGTACCTGCTATGTTCACCTGACATATTTTTTAAACACTCTCACGAATACGTGTGTTTAGTAATAAAAACAACGAATTTTATTTAGTTTCATATAAAATATTAAATGTTTTTTCATACTGGTACTCTCGTACATGGTTTGATAGAGTAATAAGGTAATGCAACTGCTCATTATGAAGATTACAGCCGACCAATGCGGCACGTCCATGGTGGTAATATTTGAGGACAATGCTATACAGAATTGTATTGTTTTAATCATGATATTCAACTTAATAATGAAGTAACAGTATAATGTATAATAAAATTTCATTGGCATGAGTGTGGATAATATCTAACGTAAAATAACACTATTATTTTAAATACATTCATCTTTATCCTTTGGTATTTTTGCACAAGATTTATGTATTTTGATTCACGGAAAAATCGTTAAAAAAAAAAAAATGCTCAATAATATAGTATTTTAATTGACAAAAATGAAAAAAATGTTGATTATGTTATACTTTTAGCAATGGTATTTAATTTGGCTATGTACTGTTGTCTATTCAACTTTTTTTNAAATGTTGATTATGTTATACGTTTAACAATGGTATTTCATTTGGCTATGTACTGTTGTCTATTCAACTTTATTTTTAAGATTAAATTGGTGTAAGGAAATTTATACTACCATACAGCGTGTTTAGTTTATAATTTTAAGGTATTGACTCGTAATATGATTTAATTATGAGTAACTATGGATAATATTATTATACTGTTGAAGATATGCAACATCGTATAACAGCTACATGTAAGCATGAGTTTCCGTTCGCGTTTAATTTAACTCACATATTAATTTGCTAACCTTGGATTTACACAGAGGAAGGTTTGTGTTACAGATAATAATTGTAATCATTTATAGTACATAAAAAAAAGTTGACTATAATAATATTATATCATTATTTTTTTATCATTCAACTATGTTGTTGTTATAAGCCTGTTTATTCGATGTTTAATTTTACTAAATTAATTGATAAAATCGTGTTAATGAAAAGTAATACGTCGTGGAACGTCTATTGCTAAATATTGTATTGCCAATTAAATCTTAATAAATGATTGTACAAGTATATTACATCATTATGTAAATTAAGTTTTATCATTATTTCTGTTGTTATTCTTATGTTCTCCTTATTTTGACATAAGTTCGTTTAAACGTATATAAATATTATAAATCCTTTCGTTTTGATCTTTATTATTCTTAATATTATTTTTTTATATGTATTAATTAAAATAGCTGTTTGGCGTAATTTTTTTCAAATAAATAAATAATCTATGTTACATATTTTGATACGATTATATCTCATAAAAATTTGTTGATTTTACAGTGTTGGAAATATCTACCGTTATAAATATTATAAAAATAATAATAATGTAGGCACACAAGGCAATTTAACCGCGCGCGATCTATTGCATTAAATTAAATATGAATATTTTTTGTGGCTGCATGCTAAGATGAATACGGAAGGAGAACACAAGGAGCACGTTTCTCATCCCCAAACTATCGTTCATATTTTGTTTTTAAAAACAAAAAATAAAATGGTCTTTTTAATTGATATAATGTGTTTTGAGATGACTAAAAATTTGTTGGGCTCCTTTTTGAAAGAATTTTGGATTCGCCCCTAGATAGACACTGTTTGAAGTAGCGCAGTTTTTATAATGTGAACACCATTTTAATCCACTAACTTAATTTCATGCGGTTTGAATACCTAATGTGTAAGTTCCTTGAGATTTAGAAGATCTAGAAAAGGGGAGGAACGGGATAGTGTTTAGCGAAGCTCTATTTTTACCATAATGCACAGATAACAATTCTTCTACGTTGCGCACCTTGGTTCTCTATAACAACTTAAAAAGTAATAATACAACATTGTTTATCGACCTGTCAAATTTTTATTTAGACCGTTTCCATTTAATAATAAAAAAATAATAGGTTCTTATTTAATTTTCGAGAATTAACTTTATAATTTACACTTAGGAATAATTTTTTTTGCAATATACTTTATATTTACAATGTTTTATAAGAATTAATTAAATTTTAATTAAACAGTCAATAGTAAAAAGTATTTCAAATATAATTTGGAAAAAAATTTATTTTTGTTTGAAAAATCAATTTATCCAAAATTTGTTAATGCAAGTATAAATACTAATGTACGTACAAATGAAAAAATATGTATTACTGTTACATTTAATTCCTATTCTATATTTTACCATCTATCACAAAGACTATTTTAGAGTTTCGGTTTTAAATTTTATCAAATAAAATCAAATATTGGTTAAGATACTTAATATTTTAAACAACAGTATATTTATAATATTAACCATACCATTAGTTACTGATACAAGAAATGAATAACATTAAAATCGTTTTTGTCTTTAATTACCATCAAAAATATTATATGTTATTATAATTAGGAATAGAACTAAAGAAATTGTCTTTAAGTTTAACCTATCTTTTCTTTGTTTATTGTAAAAATGTATTTGATTTATAAAATAATTTTATTATATTCAAAGGTTTTATTTTATGAGTTCGCTTAAAGTTTTTAAGAACTTTCAAGTATTAAATTCTTTAAAGCAATAATGTTATTGAATGATAACAGTGTTTTGACAAAGTAGTTTTCGATTTTATAAATTTTTAGTATTAATATATTATGAAAATAGTTTTATCGTGTACGATATACTGAAGATAATATGTATCAATTTAATTATAGGTCAAGTTTTTTACATCCTTCTTTTTAAACAACTTTAATAACACGACAATAACGTTTTAATAATACAAACATATGTGTTAACTATTAACGACTAAATGAGTTCAATTGTGTTCTCTATTATACGCCCAATTATTTCTTTATAGATATTATTAATCTAATATCACTATTATTATCAAAACATTTAACAAAATGATATATGTATGTTTCTGTATACACAAAATTATTTATGTGCTAACAAGCGCTCAGGAAAAATAATTATTAATTAAAATTCTTTTATAATATTATGAATAATATTTATTGATAAAATAATAATTTTGTTTGAGAATTGTTTGCAGAATATTTGAGTCTGACGTTGGGTTCTACACAAAACTTTTGTTTACTATATATTTTTAGTTTATAAATTTATTTTGTAGGTGAATTATTTATTTTATTGAATAAATTATTAAAATTATGAACTATTAAAATTTTAATTGTTTAGATATGTTAGTTAAAACTTTTAGTTATAAATATTAAATATTAATTTAAATAAATAAATTTTATATTAAAATATGCTTCTTATAAAATAAAAATGTGTCGTATTAAATCAAAATACATAACTTTTAAAATTTTCTATTATTTATGAATACTAGATACAATAAAAATAAAGTATAAGTATTTTACATAATGACACCATTAAAGGTACATAGAAATCAATCAGTATCATTTTTATACTTGTTTTATGTATAGGTTTATGATTAATATAAAATTAAATTATATAATTAGTTATTTAAATAAATTTTATTTTTTGTAATACATAGGAAATTTCTAAAGAAGCTTCTTTTTTAAATAACTTTAAACTTAAAAATGCCTAAATAATTTTTCATAGTATACAAAATTAATGTATAATGGGTTCTTAGTTTTAGCTGAAGATGATACAACTATGGGTCCGATGTTTATTAAAGAACCAGAGAACCGAGTAGACTTTTCAAATACTACTGGAGCTACAGTTGAATGTACAGCAAGAGGAAGCCCTAGGCCAGAAATCATATGGATTAGAGCCGATGGTACTGCTGTTGGAGACGTCCCTGGATTGCGGCAGGTAATAATAAATTATTAATTTTTAAATTAATTAAATATTTTAAACAAAAAAGGAAAAGGTATTATGTATTTAGAACTACGATTTTATTTACACATTTTTTTAAATATTTTACAACTAGTTATTACTTAGATATGAATTATTAATTAAAAATGTANGTTATTACTTAGATATGAGTTATTAATTAAAAATGTATTTTTTTAAAACTAATTTTCGTTAAACTAATATTATTCCTTTAGATCAAAAAGATAAGTGTTATGAGGTATGGGTCTCAGGTTAAGGACTTAGGTTGTTGAACTTATTAACCTTCTAGAGAAAAGGGAAAAGTAGGTGACAGAAACATTTTTATTTTTGGATCGTATGATGAGAAAATTTAGAACAGCGTTTTATTTCTATAATCTTGCGTTATTTTGAAGTATTTAAGTCTGTTCCAAAATTATCTTTTAGATTTGTACTAATATTATTTTATTATAAGAATATTATTTTTATAAATAATTTAAAAGCAAACTGAATTTATGCAGAGAAATATATTTACTTAAAATAATAAAATAATGACTTGTAATTAGATAACAGATTTATTAGAAAATAAATAGTTAGTACTTTAATATTTTTATGATTTACACATTACACTAACATTTTAAAAATTTTTTATAAGTTGTCTTAGACTAATTAAGTAATTTAGTATTCAAATAATATTTAGTCAATTATTTAAANCTTAGACCAATTAAGTAATTTAGTATTCAAATAATATTTAGTCAATTATTTAAAGATATTTCATCATTTAAAATAGGTAAAAGGTGACGGAAATTTAGTATTTCCGCCTTTTCGGGCTGAGGATTATAGGCAAGACGTTCACGCCCAAGTATATATTTGTATGGCCAAAAATCGCGTTGGAGTAATACATTCCAGAGATGTGAATGTTCGAGCTGGTGTGTATTTATAATAAACATTATACCATACATTCTCAAATTTTGTTTAATACTGAAACGAATAAAGCTTAATTTGTTTTTGTTCAAATAATTAATTAATCGATAATTACATTGACACATGGTTAAACACAAAAACTATTTATATTTATAATGCAATTGTTATCTATTATTTTGAAAATTGCGAATTAAGCTTTCAGTATTTTTGTGTCTCACAAACTTGCACTTATTTATTTATAACTTCATTTTAAATAGATTTCAAATGATTAATATAACTAATAACTATAACATAAATTCCTTTCAATATTTTAAATATTATATATAATAATAATACATAGCAAATTACACCTCGTAATATTTTAGCCCTTCAAAATGAAATTAATTTCTCAGTGGGACAGAAATATACTATCTATATTTAATTATTAGCTGGTATTTGGTCAGAATCCTAAAACAATGATCACGATAATGATTAATTATTATAAGTACATTAATAAATTGTTTAATTATTATTTTATTGTTTAGATAGCTTAAATAGTTTAATTTATAGTAAGCACTGTTTTGGAAAATAATACTCACAACAATGACGTTTTATTAAAAAATATTATTATAAGATACTTTATTAAAGTCAAATTATTATTATGTCTAAAAATATTTTTTATTAGTTAAAACGATGTTTTTTTTATTTTTTATTAAATACATAGTGTCATGCCACACAAGGAAACCAAATATTTAACCAAAATGTTTATAATTTTAGAAAAGAATTCCAGCCAAGTGCCAGCTAATGTTCAGTGTAAATATTAATATTAATACTTTTTAGGTATACGTACAAGATACTTTCAAAATCTCTTTCAAGGAAATAAAATAATTTGTTTTATTTAAATTCTTATTTTAAAAGGTTTATTTGCAACTTAACGAAAATCATATACCTATGACAAATAAAAGAATAAAAAAATGATATATATATATCATCATTAGTTATTTTTCAACAATTAATGATTTTTTTGTAAATTAATTTATATGTATAAAATAAACATCTATAAAATACACTTAAGTGAATTAGCTTATTAATTCATGGGTCAATTTGATTCACTACATGTATTTATTTATAAACAGCTAATTAAATACAATTATTACACTTTAATTTTGAAATTGTCTTGTACAATGTTAATGATTTTTTTTTATTACAGCGATGTTAAATTCTACAATAGTAAATACTTATGCTTTTACATCATTATTGTTTTTAGAGANGAGTGAATTAGCTAATTAATTCATGGGTCAATTTGATTCACTACATGTATTTATTTATAAACAGTTAATTAAATACAATTATTACATTTTAATTTTGAAATTGTCTTGTACGATGTTAATGATTTTTTTTATTACAGCGTTGTTAAATTCTACAATAGTAAATACTTATGGTTTTACATCATTATTGTTTTTAGAGATACAAACAATATTTGATAACGAAAGTATAAATTGTAACATTTGTTACTTAAGTTTTATGAAATATCTATTTGTTAGTGGTTGCTCAAAGTTATGAAATTGACGTTATAAAAGAGTTTGCTATAAGAGGTAATTCAGCTCTGATGAAATGTCAAGTACCATCCTATGTTTCTGACTTCGTACAAGTGGTATCTTGGATTACTGGAGATTTGGAATATGTTTTAGGATCAGAGTATGGTAGGGATATTTACTAATGTGAATTGTCTGGTTCTTTTCGAATAGATGGTCTTATTTGTATAAGCACCTTTTAAAAACGTCATTTCCTCAAATTTTACATTAATTTTTTCGTATTCAAAAAAGTTCCTTTATATTGATAAACGTGTGTGCAGTGATGTAATTATAAAAGGGATTTAAATGTCACACCCCCCATTTTGCTATTTGAAAATTATCTAGTTGAAGTATTAATTTGTTTGTTTGTTGGGCACGAAGAAAATATTGACGTTTTTCATTCATGTTAAAATCCAAATTACGTCATCATGTATGCTTGTTCAAGTTCTCATAAATGTATCTTAAAATAATTTGGCATATTATACACAGTTACTATAACTTTATTTTTAACAGTCTTAAAAAAAATGTCCGAGTTTTTACATACATTACTGGATGTATTTAATGAATATGGCGTAAGGATAAATTTTGATAAATAGTGATAAAAATGCTATATTTATGACGAATTTTCTATACTTTATGTGAAAATTATACTATTTATGTGTAAAATTAACTTGTACATCAAAAATAGCATACTGACGTATGATAATTTTTTGGATCATTTATTATAGTGAATATAAAATTTTGAAAACTTTTCGAATGGTTTAATTTTTTGTCTTTTTCAATAATATGTATACTGTCACGTTATTATAGTCGTTACACAAGCGTACGATACTGATGTCAATAAGGCATATGTGATTCGAGGAAATTCAGTTATTATGAAATGCGAAACTCCGTCGTATGTTTCCGATTTTCTATCTGTGATTTCATGGCACACTGACACAGAAGAAATATTCTATCCGGGGTTTGAAAATGGTATTAAATTTGTTTATGTGCAAAAAACACAAATTTAAAATTATATATTGTGATAATATTATGAACTATTGATATTCATGTATGGAAAAAATTCTACTCAACTATTTTTTTAATGATACCCAAACGTACCCTTCCAAAACAAGTTATTGTGTAACATGATATAATTTTTGTCGATATTGTATTATCATAGCTGTGAGTCAATATTATGAAGTAGACGTTAATAAAGAACCAGTGATAAGAGGTAATTCAGTAGTAATGAAATGTGGTATACCTTCATTTGTTGCGGATTACATCTCCGTATTGTCTTGGCATACCGAAAAAGGTGAAAATTTTTACCCAGGAACTGATTACGGTATCTATACAAATATAGTTATATGAGTTATCTTATCCATTGTGTTTATGAGAGAGTATGAAAGAAATCCTTAGAGTAACATACATTATTCCTTTTTTTTGTGATCCGCAAAAATTTTATTTAGTGACTATTTATTTAAATTACTTATATATAAATATATATTTATTTTGTTCTTTGTATTTTATAATTGCGTATAGTAATTGAGGAACCTTATAGAAGTGAAGTGAATAATGAATATGTGATTCGAGGTAACTCAGTTGTGCTTAAGTGTAGCATTCCACCATTTATCGCTGATTTTGTATCAGTTGTATCTTGGCAAGATGACAACAACAATGTATATGAAAACTCTTTTATCAATGGCGTTACATTGAATCTGACTAATCATGGTATCATTTACAAAATATAATATTGTGTGAATGGATTATATTTGTCAAGTTTCCTTTTTTTTTTTGAACTACCCTACACTATATTTTATTAAATTTTTTATATTCATTAAAGTTTTATTTTAATAATGTGTCATTTATTTAGTTCTTGCTGAACCTTATAGAAGTGACGTAAGTCCAGAATATGCGATTCGTGGAAATTCAGTATTATTTAAATGCAATATTCCTCCTTTTGTGTCTGATTATGTCAGTGTAGTTTCATGGGAAGATGATGCTGGTTTCGTTTATCATAGTGACAACAAATATAAAGTCACAGATTACGGTATAACAGAAATACAAATTGACTCTCCGTATAATGAATGTGTGATTTAATACAATCAAATTTTCCTTTTCGTCCTTTTTTTTAATACTTCAAAAATTTTATTACGGAATGAGCTAGTTGTCTTTTATCTTAGTAAAATATTAGAATATAATTATTTTTTATGTTTTTTTCAATAAAAATTAAACATTTAAAGTAATTCAAGAACCTTACAGAAGTGATGTAGGATTATCTCTGATTATGCTATCAGAGGAAATTAGGTTGTTTTAAAATGTGATGTATCACCTTTCATTGTTGATTTTGTATCCGTTATATCGTAGCATGATGACACTGGAAATGCTTTTTTTACTATGTCTACTCAGTATGATGGTATTTGCAAATTAGATCATATCCATAAATATGACGAATAAATGGTATCTAATTTTTATTATTATGACTGCGCGCTCTTTTGTTTCCTAAATATATGTTGAATATCACACTAGTCTTTTAGTGTTAAATTGTAATGTTAGACATCTTAAAGGGAGTGTAACATGCGATATTTTAATATCTTAATATTCGTGTGCCATCTGCAAATAAAAATTATTAAATTAAGATTTGATATTTATTGTTATTTGTTAGCAAAACAATTTAATTTTGTTATTTTACGGTCAGTTGTCACGCAAAATTATCTAATAGAGGTAAATAATGAACACGTGATCAGAGGCAATACGGCAGTTTTTAAGTGTAGTATACCTTCATTTGTCGCTGATTTCGTGACAGTTTTATCGTGGACGGATAATACTGAAAATTCATACAACATACAACATACCAATAATGAAGGTATTTTAAAAATCTAATCGTATCAATATATTTAGAAAATCAAACTTAAAATCATCTAACTTCATTATCCGACGTACCCTTACAAAGAAATAATTACAAAGATTTTTTTATGTTTTGTTTTGACTGAGATAAATGTACGTGAATTAATTTAATATTATGTAATACTGTCTGTATTCTATATGAGTTAACGATTATTGAAATGACTAGACATTTTTTTTTATGTAATCAAATTTGTTGTTCGTAAGTTGACTTAAATCTATAAATGTATCTAATCATAATTTGAGGTTAAAAGTTTGTCTAAAATTAAATGATTCACTATTTTTAATATACCATCATTTATTTTACAAAAAGTTGTAAGTCAAGAATATGCTTCCGAAGTAGTAACTGAATACGTGATACGTGGCAATGCTGTTATACTAAAATGTACGATTCCTTCGTTCGTTGCTGATTTTGTTGCTGTACATTCTTGGATATCATCAGAAGGACAAGAGTTTAATTATATTGATAGTGGCTATGGTATAGACGTTACTTAGAATTAAATGAGAGTCGCAAAAATCTAATTCCTTCTATAACTCCTTCAATTTGAATAGCCGCGTGTATATGTTTTGTTTTTCTGAACTATTGAATTTTTATACTAGTTGTAAATCAGAATTATGAAACGGAGTTGATGCCTTCAGAATATATCATTAGGGGTAATTCACTGGTGTTAAAATGTAATATACCGTCCTTTGTAGCTGATTTTGTAACAGTTGATTCTTGGGTTTCAAGTGATGGTCAACTTTTTACTAAGGAAACAGATCAAAGTAAAATAAACATTTTTCTTCAGATTCTATATGTACAAATGAATTTCCTTTTTATCCACAATAACAATAGAAAATTAGTAAAATTGGTAACATGAAGAATGGATTTGATCAATTAATAAACAGGTATATTTATTGGGATATAATCAAGAGACAAATTTACTAAAAAAAAATTTAATTTACCTTTTTTATATTTACCCTTAAATGTTTTAATAATTAATAATACAAATTGTATAAACGATTTACAGTTGTAATGCAAAATTACGTTACTGGGACAGAAGATGAATATGTTATACTCAGTAATACGGCTATACTCAAATGTAAAATTCCAAGTTTTGTAGTTGACTTCGTTTCAGTAGATTCATGGGTATCTTCTGATGGACAGGAATTTTATTACTCAGTTGATAATCATAGTAGGCTAAATGATTTTTGATATAGATTTATTGTTTGTTTTATGAATTTAATCCATTTTATCCTTTGTTACAAAAAAACAACTGCTTCTTAGCATAATAATTATCTATACATAACTGTTATCTTTTGTGATTTTTCAAAATTTTCAATGTCTAAATTAGTGTATTTTTTTGAGTGTACCTTGATAAAATTTTGTTCTTTTGAAATTATGTTTATATGTTGTTGAAATTCAAGAATAAGTTCAAGTTTCATACATTTACCGAGTAAGACTATTGTGATTTATGTGGTTTACTGCAGATAAATAATAAAATATTTTTAAAATAGAAAACTAGTGATCTTTATATCTATATTATAGTTGTTTTAATTATCGTTTTTGTACTTACTAAACAAATAATTTTTNTTATCGTTTTTGTACTTACTAAACAAATAATTTTTACAATTTTAGTTTAAGAATCGATCCTAGATAATTATGTTTTTTAATAGTTGTACATCAATCATATGAAGTAGAAGCTGATAATGAGTATGTTATCAAAGGAAATAGTGTTATAATGAAATGTGAAATACCCAGCTTTGTGGCTGATTTTGTTTCGGTAGTTCAATGGGAAGATTCGTTAGGGAATGAATATTATCCCAATAAAGATTATGGTATAATTTAATTAAAAAAATATTGTTGTGGTTTTAGTTACGATGTTCAATGTATTAAACAAATCCTATTTTTTTCCTTTTTTTGAATATTTTAAAGAACGTATAATAAAGTCTTAGGAAAAAATGTTGATATTTGTTATGAAATTTTTGATTAATTTAATTAAAAAATTAATCAAAATTATGTTTTCTTAGTCGTTAGCCAATCTTATGAAACTCGAGTTATTGACGAATATGTACTTCTGGCGAATGTAGCTATTTTTAAGTGTCTTATTCCAAGTTTTGTTGCTGATTTCATTCAAATCTTAGATTGGTTAGATGAATATGGTAATAGTATAGGGTCAACAATCGATACATTGGGTATAAATTTTATATTATAAATTATAATGTAGATAATTCTAGAGCGATTGCAAACTTGAATATTTGTATAGCCAATCATTTTCCTATCCAAAAAATATTTTTACTTAAATTCAAAGATTTAAAAATTTTAATAAATGAACATTGATTTTTATTTATTTTATTATTCATACGAAATATGAAATATTGTTTAGTTGTAGAACAATTATATCAGTTACGTGTGAATGATGAGTTTGTGTTAAATGGAAATACAGCTGTTTTAAAGTGTATCGTTCCCAGTTTTATNAAATGGAAATACAGCTGTTTTAAAGTGTATCGTTCCCAGTTTTATTGGAGATTTTCTAGAAATTAAGGAATGGATTTCAGATTCTGGAGATTCATTTTTAATGAATGAAGAAAACAATGGTTCGCCTTATGATGTATTATTAAGAAAATTAATGAATACTTCTTTAATAGAATGATAATTTTGTATTCCTTTTTCATCCGGCAACAACGGTTTACTGAACACTTTTTTGATTATCAATTTAATTTGGCTAACGTTTTCAGCTGTAAATCAGTATTACGAAACACAGGTTTACGATATGTTCGTAATAAGAGGAAATACAGCAATTTTTAAATGTGCAGTTCCTTCATTTGTGGTAGATTATGTAATTGTAGATTCGTGGGAAGCCACAAATGGTGACAAATACTACTTCAGTGCTGAAGATATCGGTACTTATATATGCTTTGAATAATTTTATTTTGTATAAGTGATTTGTTGAATGGATTTTAACCTTATACGAAGTCCTGTATAATTTTATGTTTAACTGTAGAGAATTTTTCAACTATTTAAAATGTTATCGGCTGTTTCATTCTCAATTATGTCGCTTTTAAGTAAAAATATTATTATTACACGTTCTTCTTAGGTTGTTTATTAAATTATTACTCATTATTTTTCGTAGCTGTTAATCAATACTACGAGGCTGTATTACATGATATGTTTGTAATCAGAGGCAATACGGCTCTTTTTAAATGCATTATTCCGTCATTTGTAACAGATTATGTTTCAGTTGTATCCTGGGAGGATACAAATGGCAACAAATATTTAATTTCATCTAATGATAAATTTGGTAAAAATCTTTATGTTGTATTTGAATGGTTGGAAATTTCTTTTTTGTTCTTTCTTGTAAACTTATTTTATTATTATTAATATCATATTATTATATTCGAGTTATTAGAATTTTATTTGTATCATAAATCAAATCGATTTTAAAATAAATTAAAAAGTATCTCTTAAAATTTTTTTCGGTCTGTTATTTCCTATAGTCAATTCTCTATTTTTAGTTGTTAATCAATTGTACACCGTTAATGTGATGGACGAGTCTGTACTTCGTGGCAATACGGCGATATTAAAATGTCATATTCCTAGTTTTGTTGCCGATTATGTATTTGTATCCGGTTGGTCATCAAATGACGGGGATGAATATTCAGTTGAATCAAATCAAGTATATGGTACCATTGAATTAAAATTATGACAAATTTTCTTATCTTTTATTTTTTTAATGAGAAATTTTTTATCGGTATCGATTATTTCACAGAATTATCAAATAAACAAGGGTACGTTGCGGTTTCCTTGATTTTATCCATACAATTGCTTCATTATCCTTTATATTCCTATTATTCTAGTATGAATGTCATGAATGAATCTTTTATGTAGTTAGTTGTATACTGAAAATATGAGATTATATAGAAGTATTTTAACTTTTTTGTAACTCTTTATGTGTGATATATTTACTATTCTTTGAAAAATAAAATAATAAAAATCATATAGTAACATACAATATTAAATACTTCTATATATTCTATATTATTAGTATTAAAATGCTTTATATGCTTAAAAACTCTTAACGTGGAATTAATTTAAATTCAACTATAAATATAGTGATGGACGTTACATGGATGATCTTTTAATGGATGTTTAACTGTCCCTAAAGTTTTTCTTAAAGAATTATTTAAAAACTGCGTCCATTTTTATATTTATTTATAAAAATAATTTCGATTTTAAAAATAATTTATCATCGCATTCATTTTTTTATTGGAACTTAATTTTATATATTCACTTTAAGAGTTAGAGATTTTACATATATACTTTTTTACGTGTTTAAAATATTCTATTTTCTCAGTTAATTCAAAGGCATAAATTTCAACAAATAAAAAGTATACCACATTTGTTCAGTATTATAAAAATTAAGAAAAATTGAATGTCGTTACGTAATTTTTTTTTTNATTATAAAAATTAAGAAAAATTGAATGTCGTTACGTAATTTTTTTTTTGGTAAAAAAAATTAATTTTCGCATTTTTCTTAAAAAATTGACAATGTGGCAAAAAATAATTCTATAAATACCGTTTTATTACTTTTTATAGACATATTTTTATCACTCTTTTGTGAAATTAACTTAACGGAATATAATTAAATATTTTTACAAATAAAACTTTTTGACATTCTTTCATTTATGTTAGATTATTGTTCTTAAAATGTAAAATCTCTTTTAAAAAGCTTAAGCAAAAAAATTATGGTGGAGTACTGATTTAATTAATATATTTTTTATTTATTTAAGATGGTAAATATTTAGTATTACCGTCTGGTGAGTTGCACATTAGAGATGTAACCCATGAAGATGGAACTAAATCTTATCAATGTCGTACAAAGCACAGACTTACTGGTGAAACAAGACTTAGTGCTACAAAAGGAAGACTAGTTATCACAGGTTAGAGAAAAATTTGTGTAAATAATGAAGTACATTGACATTGTATAAATTTTTTTAAAGATATAAAAACTAAAAAACGGCAGAGTAAAACTAAAACCTTCTCAATTGCGCATAAAAGTAAAAAACTATTTTTTCTATAATTTTTGAGAAATGTCATTTAAATTTTCTTTAAATAATGTTACTATCAATTTTTATAAATAAAATATTAATTTTGGGATGTATTGGATATTATTAATATTTAGTGTAATTTTATTTAATAAAAAAATTGCTTATAATAAAAAAAAAATTAAGTAGGATTAATTTTGAGTTTATCCAATCAGTTTGTAGACTTTCTGATTTATTATTCAACTATGAATTTACTTCTTTGTACATCTTAAGGTACTTTAAAAATATATTTATCATTATATAGTTTATCGACTGTCAATGTACTTTTGAATAATATTGTTATGGCTAAATTAAAAATAATTTTAAAGTTAAATTAAAACTTTTTATTCAAAATTTAATTCAAAATACATTTCTATTTTTAATTGAAATAATATTTTTTTAATATATTTTAATGTTAGAATTACAATTTTAATTTGGCCACATATATATATTTAAAATAGTGTTGCATTTATAGATTAATAAAAAGACCAATATAAAGGAAAATACATTTAATATATTATTATTAATGTTATTTTATATGACATTATAAATGCAACATGAATTTATTATATATATAATTTAATCTACTCGGACATACATTTTAATATTAAGTCTATATTTTAAAATATTGTGTCACAATTATTAAAAATTATTTTTTATAATAGAAATTTAATTTTATAATCACGTTATAATTATAAAATTCTTGATTTTTCAATACTATGAAAGTAAAATATAAATTGTTGTATTTAAAATGTGTGTTCGGTGAAGAATGAAGCCTGAATGTTGGGATAGGGTACCCCTGCGACACATTAAAGCATGAGTCAGTTTAGTTAATTAAAATTAAATTTATGTATATCTATCTGGCTGAACTATTAAATTTTTGTGTTACTCGAACACTTTTTATGATACTTAGAGCCTGTGAGTAGTTCTTCTCCAAAATTTGCTTCTCAGGAGACTGGTAAAAGCTATCAATTCAGGTCTGGTCAAAATATAGTTTTAACTAGTTCTGCTCAAAGTAATCCAGTACCTTCTTACAGGTAAGAATATAAATAGGTTTTCTTGCTGAAAAATATTTACATTTTAAATTTGTTTTGAAATAAACCCAGTCAAACTTGAAAGTATCTATAAAAATTGTAGTAATGAATTTGAGTTTTATAATGTTGAATTATTAAAAATGTTTTTACGCCAGACAATAATAAATATTACATTTTTTTTTTATTTAAAAAAGTATTTTTTTTAAATCATACACGCGTTTAATTTTAGATCCTATAACTAGTATTGCACCAAAATTCTCCTCGACAACAAATATTCAAGGGTTTGTAACCCAACTATCTAATTCGTTTGATATGTTATGTCCAGCCCAAGGGTACCCTGTACCAGTCTCAAGGTGGGTAGAATTTTATAATTTAATTAAATATTTCATGTTTTAAATATTAGAACCTGTAAGTGCAACAGCACCTAATTTTCCAATGATGGCAGAATCATTCAAATTCAGATTTTTATCCAATTTAAATATGTTATGCCCGGCTCAAGGGTATCCTGTTCCTTCTCATAGGTAGATAAAATATGATTATTTTGTTTTAATAAAATAACAATGGTTTTAAACGCTTAAATTTTTGAACAAAAAAATACTTGTAAAGGCTAATAGTCTAAAGTTTTATTTATGCATAAAAAATTTATCCTTACAAAAAAATGGAGAAATTATTATTCTACTTTGTTATAATTAAGTCGATACTTAACCAACATTCAGGATAAAAATGTTTTAGTTGTATAATTACAATTCTGATACACAGAACCCGTGGGCTTAAAATCTCCAACATTTCCATCGTCCTCGAAGTCAAGTTGGTTCGTTAAAAGCTTATCTGAACAAATATCCCTACTATGTTCTGCACAAGGGTACCCTGTTCCCGAGTACAGGTGATTTTTTCTTTTCAATACAAGTCTATAAAAAACTCATATTTAATATTTAAAGAGACGGTTAAGGAGTTTTATATTAAATATTAAAATAAAATAATAAATTATATTTTGAATTAACCATATATATATATAAAAAAAAAAATCCTTCCAGAACCATATAGTTTAAAAGCACCAACATTTCCATCTGATGATGAAATATCAAAATTCAAAAAACCAATATTACAAAGTTTTTGTTTACTTTGCGAGGCTCAAGGTTATCCGGTCCCTTCATTCAGGTACACATCTTCTATTGTTAATTTTCATTAAATATTTTAGAACCAGTAGGGTTTAAATCTCCTGTTTTTTCTACTGACTCTGAAATTTCGAGATATAGAAAACGTTCGTCTTCAGATTTATCTATTTTATGTACAGCGCAAGGGTATCCTGTCCCAAATTTCAGGTGAGAATATTCCACAATGCTTTTATTTATTTATATTTTTCGCGATTACAATTTAAGTAAATACATTTTTGAGATTAGTAGTAGCCTTTTTTTATTTACAAATCGCTCTATAACTTAGAGCCCGTTGGTACTAAATCTCCTGCCCTAGCATCTGATTTTAAAGGAACTATACTAATTCGACCATCAAATATGAACATCGTTTTATTGTGTCAATCTCAAGGATATCCGGTACCAGAATTTAGGTGAGAATAATAAAGAAATTAGAAAGTGAATTAAATTGTCGCATGGGGCTAATCGCTGACATTTAGGTTTTTCGTAAAAAATTGTATACATTCAAAACTTTACGCTAAATCTTACAGAACCCATTGGATATAAAGCTCCTACATTATCATCAGATTTCTCTAGTACAGGTTTAAAAAAACGTGCATTTTCACCAATTGTATTGTTATGTCAGTCACAGGGCTACCCCATACCGGAATTTAGGTGAGAAGGATGGTTTTATAATAACTTCTTATATATTTTTTGATAGTGATTTTAATCACTGTCAGATATCATTATACTTGATCCATCTATGACACGTCCCCACTGTGCTGCGACCCCCCTGTGCTGGTTTTTTTTTATTTAAACTATCCATTACAAAAAATTACTTACCACTCATATTTCAACATTCAGGTATTACTTAGGTTAATAATTTTATTTTTGAGAATTATTTCATTTAAGTTCTCATAAGACTTCTAATGCAGATCCTGTAGGATTTAAAGCTCCTTCACTTTCATCAGACTTTGAAGGAACTCGGGTGCGCAAAATTTCAAAAAATGATATTGCATTATTGTGTCAATCACAGGGGTTCCCAATTCCAGAGTTCAGGTGAGACAGTAGCTATAACTTAATAAAATGAAAAAAATAATTATAGAACCTGTTGGTATAAAGTCTCCTACATTTGAAACAAAATCTGAAACGTATAGATTTCGAATGAAATCAGACACTGACTTGAGTTTACAATGTGAAGCACAAGGTTTTCCTATCCCATTATTCAGGTTAGATATAATATAAAGATTTAATTTCTATAGAGCCCTTTGGTGCAAAAGCACCATCAGTACCACCAGAAAGTAGGCACAACTAGGTTGAAAAAAATGTACAGCAGAANGCACAACTGGGTTGAAAAAAATGTACAGCAGAATATAAATCTTCTATGCTTAGCACAGAGCTTTCCGGTACCCCTTTTTCGGTGAGTTCAATGTTATGTTATACAAAACCAAAGCATTAGGTCCATCATGATTTATTTTAGTATTTCAATTTTAGCATTGTGGAATAATCTAATTGCTTAAAATAAAATATGCGTAAGGTATTAAAGCATAAATTTATGTGTAGATACGATAAGTGCTAAAGCGCCTACCGCACCAGATGACAAAAGTAGATCAATAGTACGCAAATCTAATCAATATATAACATTGTTTTGTATAACCCAAGCTTTTCCTGTACCATCCTTCAGGTTTGTAAAAACTAATTGACCATGTCAAATCCTTTTTTGGGGACAGTTATTTTCTTAGGTTGAAAATAAGGTAAAAGTTTTTAAATAAAAGAAATAATTGTATTTTTATCGTAGTTTTTTTCCAAATCTCTGTTTCGCATCATATAACACACACACATATATATATATACTTTCTTGGCGAATACTATTAAACTAATACTTTTCCAAAGCTTTAATAAGTTTTGACTTCGTAGTAAATTTAACATTTAATCTGTATAAAAGAATCGGTATTTTCGGCCATTTAATAGAAATTAAGAAAAATAATTGTTTACAGAGCCCGTGGGTGTTAAAAAACCAACTTTTGCAAGCGATGATAAAATACATTCATTCGAACGAATGTATAGCTCTAAAATAGGTCTGACGTGTGAAGCACAAGCCTATCCTATAGCTGCTATTAGGTATGAATGTTTTTTCCTTACAAACATGATGGTAGTTCGAATATTAGCATTTAACTAAAATAGGTAATAATATGTGTATGTCCTACATTGTTTTGCGTCTATTGTTTTCAAAAATTTGTTGTTAAAATTTAAATAGGTTATTGTCCTGTGGTTCTCAGTGTAATTTACTTTGAATTTGTATTAAATAGTTTACACGAATATTATTGTAATTTTTTAATTTTTTATATTATATATTTTGATAAATTTTAAATTTAAGTTCTGTTTATTTTATTGATTAAATTATTAGGATACATGTAATATCTTTAATTCTTTATTACAGCGATATTTATAAACAAAATGTCATTATTGTACCCATATGCTAGGCATCTATGTTTTGTTGTACTATAAATTGTTCAAAAGTGAATATAAATTTACTAGTAAAATTCAAAATTTTGTCTCGTAACGAGAATCAATTTTCAACAAAACATAATGATTTTATTATTATAAATTAAATTATCTTTTATTATTATACTGTACATATACTATACCCAGTGAAAAGCTCATTTTTTAAAAATAATTAATTTTTTCAGATCGCTCCTAAAGCTCTAACTACTGTAACTTGTTAAACAAATCAAATAATATTTTTTATATATTTTATTAATAAAATTGTTTTTGATTGAATACATTTTGTTGATATAAAAACACAGATTGGTTTTGTCATTTGAAAATCAAAAAATTTATATGAGTATAATGTATATGGGATGGTAGCCGAAAATTACTTTTTTGTGTAAAAATGTTAAACATTTTTGTTAAAAATCATTAGCTAGCTTTGATATTTTTGAAGATATTTATTAAGACGAAGTTAAAAAATCAGTGTGCTTCTATATACAAAAAATGAATTATTAACTTATAAACATTTAGTTTAATTCCTTTTGTTTGAATGATTAATTAAANAATCTATATATATATATATATATATATACAAAAAATGAATTATTAACTTATAAATATTTAGTTTAATTCCTTTTGTTTGAATGATTAATTAAAATGAAGAAGTACATTTTGATATAAAAAATTAATGCTAGTATCCCAACATTTTAGGTTTTTTCAATTAACTTTGTAATTAGTTTCATTAATTATTTATTTGAAAATAATTTTATCAATTGTCATTTATATTAGAACCTATTGGGATGAAATCTCCTAGTTTTTCATCAGATACTAAAATAACAGCTTACATAAGACATCAGTATTCTAATATCGGTTTACAATGTCAAGCACAAGGATATCCCATTCCTAATTTTCGGTAATAAATAATTAATAAGTCCTAAACAAAATTGAATGTTTTTTTAAATAAATTACATTACTGTTTATTTTTCTTGAAAAATATGAATGTGATAGATTTTTTGAAGATGACAATGCAGTGACAATATAGAGGGTGAATCACATTGATATGACAAATCCAATAATTTTTGATCCAATTATTATTTTTTTGAAATTTTTTCTTTTAATAATGATTGCCTTCATATACTATGTTTAAAATATATTTTATATTATCTATCACTAATAAGAAAAGAATAAACAACATTTTTTTTTTATGTAATTCAAAATTAAAAATGACAATTTTTTCATTCCAAATTGTTTAAGATTCGTTATGTTACAATAAGCATAATACATAAAGTATGAAGCGCAGTTAGGTACAGCCCGTACTTGTATACGTATACCTAACCCGCGTTCTTTACCCACTCTATTTATTAAAATAGCTATTAACTTGGTAAGTACTTGATTAAAATTTTTATAAACCCATCAAAAGTTTTGGTAAGAAAAATGTTAAAAAATTTAGTTTAAAATGTTAATATTTTTATATTTTTCTTATTAATGATACATAATATAAAATACGCTTTAAACGTAGTCTATGAACGCAATAATTATTAAAAAAACAAAATGAAAATTGGTTCAAAAGTTATTGAATTTGTCATATTTTTGTTACTCATTTTGTATATGTGAGAATAATATTTTCCCTTTAATTTTAAGTACCGCTTGGTTAAATCAAACAAAAAAAATACCTAATTTAATTATGCCTCATAATAAGTAGTTTTTTTAACAGATCCAATAAAAACAGTTATTTATAGAGTTCTCATTAAATTTAAATTTAATCATGTTGATAAGATTGTTTTGCAATAAAATGAATTATCTTATGAAAACCAGAGAAATCCAGTATCTTTTTCAGGTAGTTAATACTACCTTAAAATTAAAAACTAACACTCATGCTAACATTCTAAATAGTCATCCAAATTCTAACATTTAGAGCTTCAATATAATTACAAGTAAAAAAAATTTTTATGTAAATTCTTGTTATTAGATCCCCAAACGAGTATTTCACCGAAGATAAAAAAAGAACTTTCAATTGGAGAATCCTTTGTTACTAAATCTCATATATCCATAATTTGTTCAGCTCAGGGCTTTCCTATACCTTATTTTCGGTATGTTATTCGCTATATTTTCAATAATATGAAAAATATAATTATTATATTTTCAATAATAGTTTTTTCAATATTATTAAAAAAGTCTAATATATATATGGAATGAGATACCATGCGAAAAAAAATAAATTGAATTCAATTGTTTAAGATTAATAATATGGCATAATGTACTAGATTAATTATATTTAATTAAAAAATTATTTTACTTCTATCATAAACATCAATTTTGAGTTTAAACTTTTTCAATCAAGTAAATATAATAATTTACAGAACCTCATTCCAATATTGCTGGTAAAGTGTCTAAAGAACGTTTTGAAGGAAACAATTTTATTTGTAATAAACCAGCGGTACTTCTATGCCCAGGTCAAGGTTTTCCTATACCAAAATATCAGTAAGTTTCGTAGGCACTACTGATACTATGAAAAATTATCATAATAAGTTATCTTAGAAAGCTCTTAAAAATTTGATTATGTGGTATAGCAATTTATAAATGAAATTAAATACACAATAATTTACAAATTCTTTATAATTATACTATTTGACTTGTTTGCAAGGTTGTTAATAATCATGTTTTTTTAAACCTGTTTAAAACATAAGTCGATAGTTTAAATACTGAAAACGTCTCATAAGACCAACATAAAATTTGAAATTTTTAGTGTTATAATCTCGTTAAAAACGTAATAACCCGGCTTTTTTTATTTATATTAATCACATAAATTTTCAATAAATGTGAACTCTATTATATAGCAGTAACTATTAAATTTTTAGTTTTTAGATTATTATACTTTAAATAAATCANATTATATAGCAGTAACTGTTGAATTTTTAGTTTTTGGATTATTATACTTTAAATAAATCAATATACAAACTCCATTTGAAAACATTAAAATTATGCTTACTAACACTTACAATCAATCAAATATTTTTAGTAATTTATAAAAAAAATAGCTTACACAAGCTATTTACCCTATTTGTAAATAAATTTCTAGTAAAAATTGATATTAAGTTTTATACTGTTCCAGAATTATATGATATTTTTATAGCATTATTTTGTTATTAGGATTTTGAAAATGACCTTTTCTTTAAATATATAAATGTATATTATATTTTTATTAGAAGTGTGATTATAGTTAACAGAATTTTCCAAAATAATATATATATATATCTATAAAATATGTATTATTTTGTTGGAAAAGGGAGTTAAAATTAAGTATTATAAATATGAATAAACGCAAAATATAAACATATTACTTTTATTGCTTTGATGATACATATTTTAATTGCATATTAAACATTTTTTTAAAAATAATTATTAAAATTATTGTTCTATTTGAAAATTTAATCAAATAATTTTTATAAATTTGAGAGTTAACAAAAAAAAAATAAAGTATTTTCCTAAAACTTATATATCTCTAATGAAATCAAAGCAAAGTGCTTGCAAACTGTTTTATGTCAAGAAAAATACAAATTTTCTTTTTGTTTGTGTCTATGCATTTTATGTCATTGAAATGAAAGCGTGAAGTACAATAATCGGACATCTCCATTTAAAATTCAATTTAATTTTAATAAATTTAAATAAAAAAAAAAATTTTCGACAGTTTTGTATTATTGCTGAGTTTATCTGACCATTTAAAAAAATAATTTCGTATAAATAGATATGCGTTATATACCGAATTAGTAATAAAATATTTATGTTTATTATATCCTCTGAATATTAAAAAAAAAATTAAGATAACCGGCTATTGAATTAGGCTTTATTTGTCGTGGTCACACTTCTAATTGTCTAACTAGACTTCAATGCGGAAGTAAACAAATAAAATTGTATGCATAGGTGGTATAAGTTCGCAGAAGGTTCTAATAAGAAACAAGCGGTGACTTTAAATGATAGAATTAAGCAGGTTTCTGGAACATTGATAATACGAGAAGCTAAAGTTGAAGATTCTGGAAAATATTTATGCGTTGTCAATAATTCTGTTGGTGGTGAAAGCGTTGAAACCGTATTAACTGTAACAGGTGAAATAATTATAATTTAAAATTTGTGTCTATGTATTTATACATCGTTGTTTTTAGCTCCATTAAATGCTATCATCGAGCCTACGATTCAAACTGTGGATTTTGGGAGACCCGCAACATTAACATGTAATTACGAAGGGAATCCGGTAAAAACAATATCTTGGTTAAAAGATGGTAAAAAATTGAATTCTCATGATGGAAGAGTGTTACGTATAGACTCAGTTCGTAAAGAAGATAAAGGAATGTATCAATGTTTTGTGAGAAACGAACAAGAAAGTGCTCAAGGAAGTGCTGAACTTAAATTAGGAGGACGATGTAAGTAAAACGAATTAATTTAAATTAAATATTTTATGAGTATTACGACTTTTTTAGTTGAACCACCTCATATCAAAGAATACTTTAGTGATAATACAATGCAACCGGGAGTATCCTTACACTTAAAATGTATTGCATCTGGTAACCCAACACCTGAAATAAATTGGGAACTTGACTCAAAGCGTCTGAGTAGTACAGAAAGGTAGTTTGATAATAAGTATGAATGTACTTAATTTAATTTTTTCTATATTTTAAGACTTCGTATCGGACAACATATTACTTTGGCTGGTGAAGTCGTTTCCTATTTAAATATTTCTTCTGTACACACAAATGATGGAGGACATTATAAATGCGTAGCAGTTTCTAAAGTAGGTACTGCTGAACATACTGCCCATTTAAATGTTTATGGATTACCTTTCATAAGACCTATGGAAAAAAAGAATATTGTATCGGGAGAAAATCTTTTTGTGACGTGTCCTGTTGCTGGTTACCCATTAGAATCGATTACATGGGAGAGAGGTTAGTTTTTCAAATAATTTTATTAAACAGATCAAGGTTAATTTGATATACAACACGAAGTCGATCTTTTACTCTGCATGTGCCATATAAATTTGTATAATTATATTTTTATTTATAGCGGGAAATATTGTGCCTTGGATATCACTGTACTGTAGTCTTATTTAAATACTCCTAAATTATGTAAAAAAAAAATATCAAAATTAAAATTGTATACGATTTGTGTATAGGCTCGTAGTTTAAATAGAACTATGGTACAGCGAGGTCCAAGGTATAACATTCTTCCCTACTTTTTTCAAATAATATAAGTCATTTTTAAATTATCTAAATTTTTTAAATTTAGAAAATCGCCAACTCCCTATTAATCGAAAGCAAAAGGTTTTCCCTAATGGTACGTTAATTATTGAAAATGTCGAAAGATCATCTGATCAAGCAACATATACGTGCGTAGCAAAAAATTCACAAGGCCATACTGCAAAAGGAAACCTAGAAGTTCAAGTTATGGGTAAGTAAATTATTTTATAAATTTTTTACTATAAAATAATTATTTTCAGGAATTTTAATATCAGTGGATTCATATTTACAGATGTTTTAGGAAAATGTTTTATTAAGGTCCTAAAACATACTTTTTAGTTACTCATTTACTGAAAATTGAATATTATTGAATGTTATATTGAATTATATATATATATATATTAAATGTTACAAAATAATTGTTTGGTAGCACACGAACATTGCTAAAAAATGTAATATTTTTAATGATTATTACAATCAAATTTATAGGAATATCCATATGATTAAAAGTATTTATTAATTTAATTACTATTTAAAAAAACTGAATGATAATTATTTTATTATAGAGTACTATGACATAAATAAACAGGATTATATTTCAAATAATAATCCAGATTTGTTGCTTTAAAAAAATTTAAAACCTAAAAACTTCGTTTGTTATTATCATTTTAGTTTAATTTGATTACTATGAACATAGTGACATTTAAAATTTAAAAATAATAAAAAGAAATGATATATAGCAAAAAAAATCGATGTATTTTAGTTCCCCCTGTTATATTATCATTCTCATTTGACGGGGAGACTAATTCTGGCGACAATGCTCAGCTTACGTGTCATGTAAGTAAAGGAGATATGCCTCTTGAACTATATTGGACTTTCCGAGACGCAGATAATCGTACAGCCCCTCTACCGGAAGTAACAACTATAAATCGAATAGGAAAGAAAATAGCGGTTCTTGAAATACCTTTGGTAACACAGTTCCATCGTGGGACTTATATTTGTACCGCCAGCAATCGTGCGGGTAAAGTCTCTCAATCAGCTGTGTTATATGTTAATGGTAAACATGCATAATGAATACGATAGTCTTAACAGTATTTAGTATGATTTCTGCCTAAATTTCAGAAATACAATATTATATTTTCAAATTTTAATCCCTTTCATGATTCCCTGTCCTTTTTATCGACAAAAAAGTAAAGACCAATTAACTTGTTATCAGTACCGCCATCAATGAAACCTTTTTCATTCGAGGGTGAATCAAATGTTGGTGAAACAGCACAACTTACTTGTCATGTAATTAAAGGAGATACTCCGTTAGACATAATATGGGTATTTCAAAGCTTAGAAGGGCAAATTCAACCATTACCGCAACCCATCACGGAAAATCGGATTGGAAAAAAGATTACAATGCTAGAAATCCCCGTAGTAACAGAATATCATCGAGGAAGTTATTCGTGTGTAGCAAAAAATAGAGCAGGAACCTCAAATCAAACTGCGGTTTTGATGGTTAATGGTACATATATAAAGAAAAACATCAGTGTATAAAAGCATTAGAATTAGCACAGAGTTACGCTTTAATTATAAAATATCCGTTGATTCCAATTAACATACACTATAATTGCATATCACTAAATTTTATAGCATGATTATCTTGATTTTTAGTACCCCCCTCAATAATGCCTTTTTCAATTGACGGTGAATTAATCCTCGGTGATAACGCGCAATTAATTTGCCAGGTATCAAGAGGAGATTTGCCAATTAGTATAACTTGGGNTCCGTTGATTCCAATTAACATACACTATAATTGCATATCACTAAATTTTATAGCATGATTATCTTGATTTTTAGTACCCCCCTCAATAATGCCTTTTTCAATTGACGGTGAATTAATCCTCGGTGATAACGCGCAATTAATTTGCCAGGTATCAAGAGGAGATTTGCCAATTAGTATAACTTGGGAATTTCAGTGCCGAACCCAGTCGGCTTTAAAATTCATTACTGGAACCAAAATCACGTAATTAAATAGAAAAAAACAATTTCTGTTAAAACTAACTGAATATCATTAAGGGTCTTATACTTGTATGGCAATTAACAGAACAAGTATTGTTGAATACGCGACAACATTTATGGTCAACCATAAAGATTTTTGTTACAAAGTTTGTATAGCTTTGTATATCTATACATTCTACATCTACATATCAGACAGTCAAGCCTTAACATTAATGCGTAATCCAATTGGTAATGATGAACACCACACAATATGTTAATATTCGATAGGCAAGTTCCTCTTTCAAATAAAAGTACAGTAGAACTCCAATTATCCGAACTCCGATCATCCGAATCGCCGATTATCCGAATCACTTTCAGAAAAAATCAGAAAAAAATTTGTCCTAAGTCCGCGGCGTCAGTGTAGGCACAACACGTGGTAAGAGTTCCCAATCCAGTTCCGGCGCATTGCAGTCACCTGTCATTGTTTATTTTGATTAGTCAGTGAATGGGTCCCGGTCCCCATTAATTCGGATAATTGGAGTTCTACTGTATAT